GGAGCAAAAACATCACCCACAGTAATGATTTTGAAAGCTCCTGGGGCACTTAACAATTTTCAGGCAATGTGGTAATAATGGTTACAAGCACAACACCGACTCAAGTCACAAGTCACACTGCCTGGCTGTAAAAGTTGGCGCTGCCACTTCCGAGCTCTGTAACCTTGGGCAAATTGCTTTAGAACCCAGCTTCAAATTTCTTACCAATAAAACGAGGCTATCTATAAGTAGGAGATCATGTTATAGGGTGGCAGTGAAGAATATACGACGTAATATATGAAAACACTCATAAAAGTTTGGGCACATAAATAATGCTGTGTCTTTATTAATAAACATTATCGTATTCTTTCATCCATTCATTCATCAGATTTAATCCTCCAGTTAGTTCATGAGGTAGGTATGATTCTTCTCATTTTGGAAACGAGATTTCAGACGTTCACTTGTTAAGAAACTAACACAAAGTCACATAAATTCAATATATGCCCAAAGCGCCTGAAATACGCCTGACTGCAAAGTTCATGAGGTCCACCACTGCCTCGTTTACAGAATAAAACTTTCCCTTGTTCCTCAGCTGTTTGGGGGGCAGGCAATCCTTTTGCTGTAAAAAATACATAGCACTCCCCTATTTCTAAGTGAGCATATTGGCACTTTTCATTGTTCGCATATTAATTAAACGAGAAGTGTTATTACAAAAGAAAACAATCACGGAGTACCTTTGTATGGGGTTTAAGGTTTCATTTTGTTCAGCTTTAATGAAGCCCTGTAAGGTGCAGACAGGGGTGTCTGGTTTTCAAATCACAGGGATCCTCTATAATTAAGCCTTGTAATCAAAACATTGCATACAAGCAGTTTCTATAAACTGGTGGGCCTAAGGAGGATTTTCAAAAAGAGTTTATGAGTGATTCTTGTGAATTTTTGTTAATAAAAATGCTACTGTGCTTAATCTTGAATTAAAAAAACATCAAATAAGGTGTAAGTATTTCTTTAGGATTCGAATAATGGTACGTGTCACTTCCCATGCTGATTCTTACAGGCCATAAAGATTTCCCCAAGTGCAAATAACCAATCGCCCTTATCCAGACAAACCCTGCCTAACTCCTTCTTATCTGTACTTTTGTTAGCCCCTTTCACTGAACTTAAACTTTTTAGTCCAGTCTATGGTAATCGTTTTGCCTATAGTATCTCAGAGAGGCACACCCACCATCAAAATGGCCTGTCTTAGAAGTGTATGCCCTCTGCTAACCTAGAAATACAGCCTTACCAAGGCTCTTAAATACTGAAGATTGTATTGATAGGTAGCTCATTGCATGTGGTGTGCAAAATACCAGGGAATGAATATATATCAATTGGTGGTTTGATGACCTAAATAGGATCTATACTTCTTTCACTGAAGTCTGGGATCATAAGTCTTCAGCAGGCTTATTAGGAATGTTGAGAAGCACTAGCCTGTTACAAATGCTATCCTACATCCCAATACATGATATATTTGAGAGAAAGAAGGACCCAAGCATTTTTTTGTAATTTTATGATGACATCAGGGGTATTATATCAATGCATTATATTATTTGCTTGCCCCCATTCTCACAGCCATTAAACCATTTTTGCCACTGACCTCTGACTATTATAGATATAGTCAAATTTATTTTCTTTTTAAGTCCTTCTACTCTGTCTTCCTTGGCAATGTTCTTTTTCTGAAAACTGTTAGGACTCCATAGCCTTTTATTAATATCAAATCATGGATCAGGGTCATTTCTGGTGGGTACTCCTTGGTGCTTGACCCATCAGGGTAAATCTGATCTCCATGCAATTGTAACATCCAATAGCCAGGTAGAAATCTCATTTGAGGACAGAAATTGATGGTGTTACATCCATTTACCAGCAAAATGACTGGACTACATTGCTAGTCATCAAGGAATTCCATCAATGGCACATTCCATACTCCAAATATAAGCATCTCATTTCACAACATCTGAGCGTTGCACTTCTAGTAATTTCCTCCTCTCCTGCCTGTCACTGTTTTACTGGCTATAAATGACTAAATAGCAGAACTCCATGTGGTCCATCCAGAACAGCACCACAGAGTAAAAGCCTATTACAAGTCAGACAGAAAATGTTGAGAACCATGTGATTTCACTGATATGTGGGATATAAAACTGAAAACAACCAAGGAACAAAATAAACAAATAAACAAAACTCAGAGACACAGATAATAGTTTAGTGGTTACCAGAGTGTAAGGGGGGAGGGGGGTGGTGGATGAAGGCAAATGAGGTCGAATATATGGTGATGGAAGGAGAACTGAATTTGAGTGGTGAACACACAATGTGATATATAGATGATATATTACAGAATTGTACACCTGAAATGTATGTAACTTTACTAACCATTGTTACCCCAATAAACTTTAATTTAAAAAAAAGAAAAGAAAAAGAAATGAAAACAGGAATAAAAGACATTCTTAGGGGAAAACTGAGGAAATTAAAAAAAAAGCCTATTATAAAGCTGTATCTATCAGGAAAGAGCCCATGAAAGACCACTCTAAGGAGAAACCTGTAAAGCTATCCTTATATCACTGGTCTACAGATAATATATGAACTCTGAGAAATTTGACCATAGATCCATGGGTCTCTTCCTTGTCACCACCCCTTATCAATCTAGCAGCTTTCTACTTACTACATCCAATCTATGTTTCATAAGTCCCTCCTTCGCTGGCCTTGGTAGGATCCTGTTCTCTGTCCTTCATTCCACATCTTAACATCCCTTCTGGACTCCTGGTGTTACCAGGGCACACACACATTAGTACCTGGATAACTGGAGTGCTGGTAGTTAGGATTCCAAAGAAGGAACAGAGAATCAACTGTGCATTTCTGTTCATTTCTAGAATTAATTATTGTATTTCACTCCCTAGGCTGTGAAAGAAAGGCAGAAAAAGAAGACTATTGCTGAGGAGAATCCTGAGGCTATCTTTGACCAAAGTGTGGGAGGAGCCCATCCTTGGCCAGAGGGTACCAGCTGGCAGCATCAGAAAAGTCATGTCCCTGTACATCATGGTCCCTGATGCATGGCTTTCCCCCTTTTTATGGATTTTATTTCTCATTCCTATTTGTCAGATGTATCAACTTTGCCTCTAAGATAACTGACTGAATGTGTTGTCCTTATACAATAGAAACAATCTGCGTGAAACCAACAAGTGGTGAGACATAGCACACAACAAACAACACTGGAAGGTGATCTCTTTTCAGCACTGCTCCCTAAAATGTATGAGCTATCCACATTTTCTCTGTTCTTCCATCGTAAACACACATGGATCACTAGTTAGCTGTGGTAACAGTTTCTGACTGCTGTAACCTAGAAAAAATTATGTTGATGCTTTCAAGACATTTACTTTACTGTGATGGTATCAGAGTGTGATAAGCCCACCTATCAAATGAAAGAACACTCACACAATGCCAATACCACAAGCCCGATTAGCTAGTTTTAGAATAATTAAGTTATTGGATGGAAAAAAAACCAAACAGTGATTTTAAGGAATTAGACAGCATAGCTGAAGAAATTTATGTTATTCCTTTATAAACACGCATGCAGCAAACCACATGCCCCTACCTTATTTCTTCAGGATCCAAAGTTTCCTTAACTAAGTGGAGGCTGCAGAAGCTGGCTTTTTATACAATTAATGCTCCACAGCCTGATGAGCATTTCTGACAGAAAATGGTGGAACAATTTGTCTTCTTCCAGTGACAAGAGTCCCTAAGATCTGTTTAAGCTCATGATACACTATGGATCTGAGCAACATTTTCAAAGCTTGGTGTTATATTTCTAAAGTCTTTGGTTATAACCTATCCAAAAGAAAGCTATTAAGCATTTAAAATTTTGCTAACTATAAAGATTAATGTCTTTACATGTGTTGCCTTGTTCACATCTTTCAATGTAGATCCTATCATCACCATTTTCCAAATGAAGAAACTCATCTTTATAGAAATTAAATCATTTTCTCAAGTGTAGGAACCAAAATTTGAATCCAGGTCTAAATCCTGTATTTGTAGTGTAATTGTTATGAAATCTGGGCTGGAATCCTGGCCCAGCCACTTAATTACTTAATATGGGTCTTGGTTTCCTCATCTATAAAATGGAACTGACATTAGCACCTAATAGGCTCTCTTAACCTCAGCACTAATGACATGATGGGCTAGATAATTCTTTGCTGTGAGGGGCTGTCCTATGCACTGTGCGATGTTCACCAGCATCCCTGCCTTCTGCCCACTAGATGCCAGTAGCTCAGCCCCCATGCTTGTGACAACCAAAAATGGCTCCATACATTTTACTTGGAGAGTAAAATCACTCTGGTTGAGAACCACTGACCTAAATTAAAAGACAGTTGTGAAGAGTCCATCACTTAACACATACACAGAACCTAAAAGTGTGTCTGGCACAGAATATTTAATGTTAGATGTGATGATAGAGGTGACAAAGAAGAAGAGGAGGAGGAGGAGGAAGAAGAAATATACTTGCATCTGACTAAATGGTATCTGTGTTTGATTGAGGCCTGATTGGGTGGATATAATTGAAAAAAAAAAGAGAGAGAGAACTCATGTAAGAGTTGGTTAGAAAGAAAACCAAATTAAAGGGTATGGCAAGCTTATAGTTTCTAGGATTATTGCAGAAAAACTTCAATAAGCCATTTTCTTTTTTATCAGGTAAAAATTTTTACAATAAGATTGTATATTAAACAGCCAAATAAATATTTGCCTAGTATAATATTAGTACACATCAGTATAGAACGAGTATCATATCAAAATCTATGTCCAGATTTGAATGAATGGAACATCCAGCTATTAAAAGAATATTACAAAATACTTCTTTTTTTCTTAGTCAGGCTAATTAACTTTGAAATGAATTTATACTTCAGAATATTCAGTCATGGATTAATACATTTACTAATGAATATTGCACTGTGATTAGCATGTTGAGAGTATAAATGAAAGTAAACTGCAAAATGTCTTACCTAAAGTCTTAATAGGATCAGAATAATCAGAGTCAGTAAATTGTCCCATGATATTTGTGGCTCTAAATTTAAATCTATGAAATAGAAAAAAATTAAAAACCAACAATTTGCATGCCATATGACTTTTTTTCTATGAATAATTTAACAAACTGCTATTGAAAATAAACACTTTGATTCTAGAGAAAATGAATTTATAAGATGCAAACTGGAATTCAGTCAGCATCAGGACCAACATATACTATTCTTTATGTGAGATAAATGATTTTTGTATACATAGACCTCTTGAACTTTGAACTTCATGAGAAAGTGACTATGAATTTGGGCAGATTTATCAGCAGTCAGCAGCTAAACTGAAGCAGATCCCCTCCCTCATAGATTTGTTTAGATGAAATAATTGAATGTCTTTGTGTGTTCCCCAAACATACTTTACAAATATAAAGTGTAATAACTGTTATATCTCGGCCACCTTTGAAAATACCAGTGAACCAGGTTTAGAACAGTTATATAGAACTTATCTTGTTCATATGTATACAATTAAGAACAGTGCTTCCTAATTCTGTGTGTGCACAACTGTATTTTCACTATCTATGCTTTAAGAACATACTAAATGGAAAATGGGTGCAGGAGAGAATCAATCTTAAAAATCACTGGGTGTTTTTAACATTTGCAGAGACAACTCAAACATCTTATTTAAAAACTACAGGCATCTAGGCATTTAAAAATATAAAACATTAGTAAATTGCAATGCATACTTTCATCTCTACTATTCTCAAATTCTTATGATTTTGTTGTGATTATTTGAAGAGTCTGTTTTGGAAAAATATGCAAAATAAAAAATATTTGAATAAATATAAAACTTTGTGATATAACATTTTCAGAACTGTCACATGGGTGATGATTCAATTTTAGGCAATAACTTAGTAACCAAAGTAACTATACTTAATAACAGATGATAGAGCACTCTTTTTTAAATGCCTAACTTTTCTACCATTTTTAATGCTAATTTGGCCTAGGACATTTATAAAAATTTAAGTGCTTTAATTAGCAGGCAAAATGAAGCTAGCTACATTTTTCAAATTTAGTACAAAAATTATATTTTCAAAATCAAATAATTTAAGATTTTTAAAAAATTGTAGTCTTATGACACAAACTGTCAATTTAATAAAAAAGTAATCTATTTAGCAAAGCCAAAATATCAGCATTGATTTTTAATATGATATTCAATTATTAAAATGTCAAATACTAAAGTGAGTTGTAAAAATTTCAATCACTCATTCAAATGTTTAATGGCATAAAGATCAAAAAATTATTGCTATGAATGAGGTAAACTAAAGCCATCATTAACCAAACAACTATAATAGTGTTTCTAAAAACCTGCATATTAGCATACATGGCAAAATAATGAGTGGAAAACACAAAAATTACATATTAGTCACATTGTCCTCTACATAAAGAATTAAATTATCCTACCTATATTTTCCAATTGCACATTTTTGCTATTGACCTGGTGTCACTTATCACATCAAATCATAATTATGTTTAGGTTTGCCTGCTTTTCCTATAGAACTGTATGTCTGTGGC